GGCGGTTGGTGCCCGCGCCGGCGGCCCGAAGCAGCCGGGGGCCGGAGCGTTGTTTCTGCGAAGGCAGAGCGACTAGCAAGACTTTGCAGCCCTAAGCCTCACAGTAGGTAAAGCAGCAGAGAAGGCTGCCGAGCCATCGCTGAGGGACGCCGCCCTCATTTTCCCCCCCAGGTAACCCTAGAGGAAGGACCCTCGCGCTGAGACGGGCGCTGAGGGGATAAGCGGGAAGCTCACACCTTTGCTGCCCCGCGGTGCGGGCCGGCCTCCAGAGCAGGCCCCTGTCTGCCCAGGCCTTCCCCGGCCTCATCCGGCACGGAAGGCCGTCAGGGAGCCTAGGAAACCTGACTGCCCCTACCAGAACGTCCGTCTAGTTCACGGCGATTAATAGAGCTAAGCTTGTATCGATATAAATACCGAGCATCCTTATAAGTAGCGAGGGTACACACACTTGGGAAGGGAGGTTGCCTTTTGCAGAATTATCTAGCAGTAATCTGTCGACCCCTAAAAGCTCGTAGGCAGGCTGAAAATCATTATAGCTCCCACGTCGTGGGAACACTGCCAGCAAAACTTGCAGAGTACTATTTTCCTTTGGAGACCTCGCATGCAAGTGCCTAACCAGCCTAAGACTCTTAATCATCTTATCAGACCTGTGTCATTCTGTGCCCTTAAAGAAAAGCAAAAATAGACTGTTGGGGGATTCACAATGAAGAACAACTCCTGCTCTCACGAACTTGCATCTGTGCCTAAGTGAATTGCTTCCTACGTGCTGGGAGAAGGAACACACTAAGCATAAGCTATAAGAATATATAGGGACCAAATCTTAGATCTTTAACGTTTGTTACCTGGATGTAGGAGTATGGTGGAGAAACTGATAGAAAACTCATTTGTTAAGTGGTACAAACAGAAAGACATTCAGGAAGATGGAATAAAAATATCTCCGGCAACATCTGGCAAATTAAACCATTTCAACTAGGTTTACAAGAAAACAAGGAAATCCAGGCCAGACTGATGAGAGAAGCATTTAAAATAACTTGGAATCTTAATGGCTTCTCAAATAACCTCTCTGCTCAGAACATTAATGATTCTCCAAAGAGTAGGTAGCTTGTGGAGGTTTAAGTTATGATTTTTTTTTTCTTTTTCACAAATATTTTTCTACTTAAGTATATGAAAACTAGAACAATTAAGAGAAAGCCAAACACTTGCAAGGGTTTAAAGGTACCACGAAAGTGGCTATCATGAAAGATAAAGATTTATTATCACGGATGTGTTTTGTTAAGTTCTGGAGAGCTAGATAAATAAGAGTCACACACGGAACTTGCTTTTTCCCCATCTTTTTTGCAGCATTTCAAGAACACAGATAACACACAAATCTTGTTCAGTCACTTAAACAGACCAAACATAACAAAGTGCCTGACTTTTTCCCTTTTTAAAACGCAGCGGCCTCTTCTTCTCTTATAATGACTGCTTCAGTAGCATTTATGAACTGGATTAGAAAAGGTGCATAGAAAAGGAAGATGCAGTAGACTAAAGTGAGTGAAAAAGGAAGTTTTGTGCATGTTCACTAGTCATATCCTAAAATGAACAGAGGCAAAAAAACAATTTGACCAAGTTAATTTATCATCAAAAGAGCCGTTACAATTATAGGGCAAAAAGCACTGACATATATTGGAGAGAGGGTATTAGTGGATTGTTAGTTAGACCCAACATGGCAGTTTCTGTGTTGGCACAGTTTAAAAACAAACACAGTAACAACTGCACCAACACAGATCTTTACAAAAACCACTTACCTAAATATCTCAATGTAATAAAATAGAGGAGGTTTCATTAACAGTTTAAGCACAGAGAGTATTCTGTAATAGCCTTCCTTTTTTTCAAATGTACCAGGAAAAGAAATCTTACCTTCCTAACAGTCCATCTTACCTTTTCAGCTTTCTAGCAGTAATTATTTGTGTGGAGTGTCAAACAAACCTAGCTTTTTAAGAATTCAAGCTTTTTGACAGATCCAGAATGGTAAGATTAGGATAGCAAAACCCCAATTTTTTTTTCCATCAAGTCATCAGCATCTCTAGCATTTGATAGGAATAGCTCAAAACCCCTGTGGAAATAACTTCACCCGCTCAGATTAATGTGTGCCATAAGAACCACTATTGCATAAGATAAATGCTTTTTAATTTGTGTTCTTCAAGTATAATTTATATTTAAAAAAAAAAATCTATGTACAACCTTCAAGTTTACATTTTCATAGCATTTTACCTTCATTTATTTTTACTCCTTTTAGAATTATATATCCAAAACTATAATGAATGAGCATATATTAGCCATATAAAGTTATATTAATATCAAATAATAAAATGATAATAAACCTCAAAGTAAAAAAGGGCTCTTGCAGAATCTGGTAAGTTTAATACATATGTATGACATCTAAACATAAAATATTATTGACTGGCTGTGCAATACATGATTTACATCAGACTTCATCTGATTATAAAAGTAATCTGGCTAGCGATATTTAAAGAAAAATTATGGTTTGACAATCTAGGTATGGATCATCAGTTTATAGGGTTACATACTTGTTTTAAGGAGCATGAGAACAAAAGTCTTTTGGGCTTTTGGTGTTTCGAGAGCAATCATCAAAACATATTCAAAGCTCACCTTGTCACAAACTGTAGCAGAAACAGTTTAGGAACAAAGTATAGTATCCCACTGCTCCATGTACTACAACTCAGTTTGAGAGCGATACTTACAAAGCAAAGATACGTACATCAGCATAAACATGAATTGATTGAATTGCATGCAAGTGTTTTGTTTTTAATTTCTGTCTTTTAGAAGGACATTTCTCTGTCACAATTATGGAGTTTTTAATATAAGCCTTGTCCAAAAATAAAATTCTATTTTGTGTTTTGAATAAAACCCTACAAGATATTTCAAACGAAGATTACTTGCACAAGTTTCTCCTCACCTTTTGCAACTTGTTTTTAGAAGAAAGTCAGTGCTAAATGAGTAATTCTTCTTGTTTATTATTTCAAACAGAAGTGAAAACAGAATAATGTCTTTGGGAGAATTATCCTGGTGCTCTACGTTTAGTAGAGATTGAACTTTTTCAGTATGCAGTCTTGTGTACGTTTGGTTCTACTTGAACTCATCTGCACAGTGAGTTGCTGAGTGTTACTACAGTCACAGTGAGCAACGTGCATAAAAGAACCTCTGATTAAAAATGCTGGACAAATTTTAGGCCAGACTATTTAAATGTGAAACAAACAAACAGAAAAAATCAAGTAATATATATATGCCATAAAAATATACACGTAAGTCACTGTGTTCTAGCTGACAAGAGTTGAAAGAACAACCTTGGTAGCTTGTCTGACAACAGTGGATGCTAGTTTTATGGCTGACTTCAGAATTTCAGATGAGAGTCACATGAAACTCATCTTAGCCACAGAACCCTTCTCATCGCACTCCTCATATTGCTTAAGGAATTTACCTTCTTACTTCACTAGTACCAGAAGCATATTTACTGAAAATGATTTTTTGCCTACTTGCATTTCTTCAGTCTTCCAGGGAAGTTTAATTGGTAGATTGCACGCTTTTTGGAGTTGCTCTCAAGCCAGTGAGTTTCCCAGGCATATTTAAGTCACATCCTCGCCCCCATCTTTTTTTTGGTCATATACCTGTTCTTCATTGGTAGCCATGGCTGCCCTTCCCAAGAACCACGAACAGGAAACGTGGGATCCTTGCCATAGATCAGAAATGGGCAATAACCTGAAAACGTATGGAAAATATATTTAAGCCAGAGGTACTTACATCACAACTATTACAGAATTCAATTACTCTTGTCCCAAAGCACACATTCAAACAGTTAGCAAAAATCTGAAAAGATGGCGGTTTTTTTTTTCTTCCTGAAATGAAGTTATTTTTTTAAGAACACCTGAAGACAAAAAGCAAAAACAAAATTGGCAGTTTAAAATGGATTTACAAATTCAGGATTTTTAGCGTGCCACAGAATTCAGCATGTTTATGCTGTATGTATTTGTTCATCGTTACAACTAATGGAAGGAATTAGTGTCAGGTGAACGTATTTCAGAATACAAAGATACTTCGCTAACCATTAATAATGAAAAGTATTTAGATCATTTAAAAACTTTTTCTTGCTGTCTCCACTTGCTTTCTCCTAGCAAGCCTATCTGATTATTTTTGTGCTCCCAGACAGCTACTATCCCATGCTGAAGACCTCCCTGGTCATGAATGCAGAAGGGTATTTTAGAGGCTTGGCTACATTATGTTGTACGTTTTCATCTTTCTTGATGAGAAAGATTTAGTCTTATTCCCCATAAAGGCTGTGTGAAACCACATAAAGAGGACAGTACAAATAATCTTTATCCATTATGATTTATTCTCTACAATACTTCATTAGAGGATAGAGTTCAATTATTTACACTCAGAAGTTATTATATAGGTAGGAGGCAACCAAGTGTAATACAAAGAATTGGTCTGACATCTCTGCACTGAAGGTCAAAAGAGGTCTCCTGCTTTAAGGAAATAAATTAACCAAAGGGAAAAAAAAAGAAAAAAAAAAGAACATGTAGGTTCCAGCATACAAACAGAAAACAGCACTAATAGTCAGTGAAGATTGCAGATGTTAATGTACTATGAAAACAAATTATCCTGTGCAAAGGTTAAAATGAACCCTTAGATTTTCTTACAGAATATGTTTGTTCTTATAAATTGTAGATATGTGATATTTTGATGATAAAACCTTTCCAAACTGAAATGGCCTCAGTTAAGATTGACTGTTTTAACATTATGAAGAAAAATTTAAGAACCTCACAGTGGAAACATTCCAACACTGACAGACTCCAGTGATCAAAGACATTCTCCTGTATTTACTGTAAAACAAAGACAATTCGTAATTGCAGTGAGATTATTTCTCAGCTGTGGTTGTCATGAGAATAAGCCCTTCTAGACCATAAGGCACTTGCTCCTAAGGATGAGTTAAATCCATAGCAAACCAGGTGAGAACTGCTTTGAGAAAGAGCAGTTCTAGCCTGCTGTCCCAGCCAAGTAACCACGGAGAAATTCCTAAATTGCTCTGGTCATTGATTTTGGTTGCCTCCATCTTTAGACAACTGAAAATACATTTTGTTTCTAGCTTACTTTTCATCCTTAGGCATAGCTGCCATGTAATGATCTAGAAATGGGATTATTTCTGAGACCCACCTGTCCCTGTCATACATTTTTCTGAGATGAGTTAACTATTGACACACTTTTCAATTGATTTTACAGCTGGACCCTTATGGGACTAAAGCTGAGAGGGCCTGTCTCTTAAGCAGCAGACCAGCGTTTCTGATCTGCTCGCTCCTCTTCTCACTGCAAGACGACAAGAACACGGTACATATTTAGAGGCGTTTTTGTTTTTTTAAACGGACTGAGTGGGGAGATGGAAGTGGGAGGGGATAAGGCCTCCCCAGTCCAAAACCATCCAGCCCACTTCAGGCCTAAACCAACCAAGTCACTCGATCCTAAAATTCTGTTCTTTAAAAATGACAGCTAACCCTCCCCACCCCACCCCTTAAGTCATCCCCTATTCAAATAAATGAAATCAGGAAAACACTATACACTGTTGAAGACACAGAACAGGGCAAACATTTGAAAAAGAAACAATAGAGTTGAAAAGCCTGGCACTATATGCCTGCATGACCAGTCTCACTGAGCGTGCTCAGGGGTGAAGTTTTAGCACCATTTTTTGCTGTTTTTTTTTTTTTTAAACCTTTTAGAAATTAAATTCTAACATAGAACACTTGAACAGTAATGAGTGTAGCCCTATGTATCATACTGTTTGACAGCTGAAAGGTGAGTGGTACGTCCAGAGCTGACCCCACCCTCCTCCATCACTCCACGGCACCTGGGAGAGTAATTACAAACCACTCGAGTTTGTAACAAGACTGATTTATTCTCAGCAGCAGGAAATCATGAAACAATCCCTTAATCTTCAATTGCTTTTCAACAACATCACAAGGGAAAAGTGGCAATTTGTAAGAATGACCCAGTACAGGAGGAAAGCTGGGTCGATATTGCACAGTTATCTAGAATAGGACCCCCTCCTTTCCCTCACGTCTCTATCCCCAGCAGTAGGGGAATGTGACACCACCATGAAGCAAAACTGCAGGATTCTGTTCACTTCTCTAGAACCAGAAGGAGCAGCAACATGCAGTTTTGAGGTTTCTGTCCGACCTATCCCCTGCAATGCCAGGGGAGAACTCATCAGAACTTCAGGCTGAAACATTAGCCTGTTTTAAAAGCCATCATTACCACACAAACAAACTTTAAAGATATATGCAACCAAATAGCCATTACTCTGCTATGCATTTATATTTTCTTTCCTCATCATTGCTGACCCTTCAGATATTTGCAAAGAAATCAAGTGTAATTCTCTAAAACCAGTGACTTCATTGAGAGGATGTCATAATTCACAGTCCATGACATCCCAGAATGACAACTGGATAACAGGTATCTTCCTCTTAGAAGGGAGTGTTTCTTGTAATCATCAATGACGGGAGAAGAAATACACAATGCACATGCCTTTCATACAGTTTGGGTAATACAGCTTCCCCCTCCCCCCCCCCATTGCCTTGATGTGGTAATGACTAAACTGTATAAGATAATAACTTACCAGCAAAACTACACAGCTTTATTCCATAGTCCTGCTATAAACTGGAATACTGACAATTTTCAAGATCCATAGTCACACAAGAGAAAGTGGCTGTCCTATAAAAAGGAAGGTCCCCGAGACTGTTTGCTTAAGTTAAACAAATTTCAGTCACTAGTCTCACTTGTATGACTACAGTCAATGCCCTGCAAATCCCTCCCCATCCCTAATCCAATCAGGCTCCGTTACAAATGCTTGGACACAAAACTTAGTAGTAACAGCAGTAACAGAGAAGATCGTGCAGGGACACCCAAGGACCTTGTCCTTCACGTAAACAGCGTTTAACGTTTTGCTCTCTTACAGGCATAACAGCATTCTCTTTCATAGCAGGCTACGTTACAAAGCACTGTCTAAAAACCCCGCAAACTGTGAACCAAATGGAGTTCTAGAGAATCCAACCTACAGTGGGATCGGCAAATTAAAACCCTCTTGGGTTTACTTAAATAATGGATTCATCTATAATACCGTCCAAAGGTTTTTCACATCTTTAAGTGTTTTCTGTCCATGAGGATGGGGTGCTATCCAGACGTCCAACCCTCCCCATATCATAATGTCCGCCTGTGATGTGTGGGGACTGCAATCAGCTCTTGGTACACAACAGATACCAGAGGTTAAAAAAAATTAAAAATAACCTAAAAAATGTTTTGTTGGACTCCGTTGCCCAGGCTGCCAGGGGAATGCTCCTACTTGATCTGGGGGGCTTCCATAACGAACAACTCAAGTTTCCAGAGAGTGTCGGTAACACAGGAGAACAGATCAATCTGAAGTGGCACATCCACTCCTAGAGGTCTTCTGCACCTCACGACAGTTCCTAGACACGGAGCCCCAATCCAACTGAACCCCCGTTCGGAGGGAAGGCTGAGATAAGGCTTGGGCCCCTCAAGTTCTGTCATGCTCTCATCTTCCCCCCCAGGTCAGCTGGAAGGCAGACTTGGCAACGGAAGCTAGCATCATAAAATGGTGCAGTAATAGAAGTAACTGGACCAGGAAGAGGAGGCATCTGCTCCAATGATGTCATAGCCGTTGGCAGCAACTGGGGGGTGGGACTGGTCATGCAGCCGTGTGTCAGGAGTAATGATTGTAGAGGGGAGGGGCATGAAGAGTGCCATTCTGGAAACAATGCTGACGGGAAGCCATGTATTCTGCATAACTGATTGTCACCTTCTCACTGCGGTACCTGTGGAAACAGCGTAAGAATAAGAAAATGTCAACAGCTTATGCAAGATGAAGAGACTAGACATAAAAGCATTCATCCCATATCACCTTTTAGCTCACAGCCAATAATGACACAGCAGCGCTCGCTAACTTCAAAAAAATACTTTGTTTGTATCATCCCATGCAGTAGTCTGGATAGATAACCAGTCTGGAGAGATAATCTTTCAAAGCTTGAATTAGATGTGCTTCAATGTCCCAAAAGTTGAGCCCTATTGAAGGCAATCATAATTAAGGTGACTCCTGAAGCGGCAGTTTGGGCACACAGGAAGCCAACTATCGCTCTATATTCTTTATATCTGCTTGCTGTGAAAAAAGGTGTGAAACGTTTGCTGGAATAAGATGACTTAAAGTTTCACAGACAAAATAAACAGTATGTCAGTATTATTTACTTTTGTGGTGATCTTCATATCTGAAAAGCTAGCAAAAGCAAATGATGGAGAACCAGGTAAAGGGAGGTTCACTAAAGAGTGCACGTGACTAGTCCATGTCGTGCAGTCAGAATCCGCAAAACGTAAAGTCCTTTTGGGAGACCAGAGATGCCCACAGGAGAGCATAGCATACAACCACTTTGATGTTAAGCCCGTGTTATACCAGGTTTTACTGAAAAATCTTCATCCTGTCCTTTCCTGTTTAAAAAAACCCTGCATTTCCACCTCATTTCTCCAGAGGTGAGGAGCAACCTCATAAGTTATGGTGTTTCTAGACAAAAGCAGAACATTCCACTTTTTATTAACATAAAGGGAGCTGAACCAGTAGGACTGCTGGGTGTATGGAAAAACAAGCAAATTCTGAAAATCAGCCAACTTTGAGAGGGGTTGGGTTTCAAGAGAGCTGTCACCTCCACCTAGCTACAGCTTACACAGAGCAACAGAATGAGAACAGGAAGTCCATTGTATAGATACAGAAGAATCAACCTTGTCAACTTTCAAAGGTTCTGTTTCTTTGGATCTTTCATGTGGCTGATTATGTTATAAAACAGATTATATTAAAAACCGGCGACACTTCTCTTAGAAAAATGCTCACTTCGATCCTGTGTGGACTGAACACATCACACTTCATCCATATACGTTATTTATCTTACATGACATTGACAATGTTGCCTTTCAGCCTACATCTCTCATCTGAAATAATTGTAACGACTTATGCCAAACAGAAATAACTTACATTATGCATAAATCACTACGAAATAAAAATGTAAAAAGACTGAAACATTGGCTAACCTGGTAAGTTTAATTGTTTTCCTAAAATCATTGGTAATGGGAGCCTTAAAGCCACCTTTCCTGAGTAAGGAGTCTATGGTCTGGATCTGATCCCAGTCTGTTGAAAAATAAAAGCAAGGGAAATTTTCAATATAAAAATGATGTTTGGAAAAGAAAACAGACACACAAAAGGCCTCTAGAAAAGCAAACTACAAAACCAGAAAACTTTGAGCTTTATAAATACCAAAGGTGAACTGGACGCACATAGCCTTATGCATGCATACTATCTGCACATATCAACCCCTTTTAACTCCTATTGGAACATTTACCATACGACCTCTCTTCTGATCAAGGTCTGCACCTTGCTTCTGTTGCAGGCACCCCAAACTGTTTTACCGTGTGCCACTCAAGTTTAGATCTCTAAACCTTAAAATAAAACAACACTCGGCTCTTTACAAAGACAAACTGGGATCAGCCTGATGCTCTAGCGATAGCACAGTGCACTGCTATGTGAGAGATCAGAGTTAAAATTCCTACCTTAGTCTTTTGCCCCAGAGCCAGGAGGATGCGACAACTCCACTCTGCTAGGTGGAGGAAAGGAGGCAATATTTTGAGCAGTTACTATGGTGGCCACTACTAATTTGAGTGGGAAGCGTGCTCCAGAGGGGCCCTGTTTCCTGCCCTCATCTGGAGGATGCTACTTTAGCAAGAATGAGGAGGAAAGGGACTCTCCTGTTGGTGCTGTGCAGCCTGCAGTTATCCTAGTTGGTGGGAGAAACACAGAAGAGGAAAGATGCAATGCTGAATGAAGCTGGAAGGCCCATACTTTGAGATCCTCTGTTTCTTAAGCCCTAGAACATGTTTACACTAAAATACAACTGTGCATGGATGTGGGATGAGAGAAAGGCCAGGCGAAAGCCCAACAGCAGCTGTCAGTTATCCAGATTAAGCCTGGTGGCTCCATAGCATTACTATAAGGAGAGCACTGCGATCCAAATCCAAAATCCATAGATTTAAGTTACCCAGTTCGGTGACACAATGCACTGATATGTTTGGTTGCCATCTCAAACCCACCTTGTTCCTTAGCAACCTCAGGTAAATACGTGGCTGTGCGTTTGACACCTTTCTCATTGATGAACTCTATTCTGATCCCATGGATCCCAACCTATAGATGGAAATGAATAGCCAAATAAGAGCTGTTTGCTAGGACTGAGTCCGTGATTGATTGTTATTATCACAACACTGCGGTATCTCTGTCTCACTGGCCAGCTTGGCTATAGCTTTTGCCTCGCTAAAGGACATTTTTCTCCCCTCTCTGTCCTTGCCAGGCAGGCCTAATGAGCAGCTCTCCTAACAGCAGTGTAAAGGACCTCTGCCTCCTTTCCCAGACCAGCCCAACCAGTCACCCTGCCATTTCTCCTGAAGTCAGTCAGGTACAAACTTCTGACAGGAGAGTTTTCCATCTCTTACCCTGGCCCAGAAAGACAGGAATCTCTACACGAGAGTCATGCCCTAACTAGCCCAACCACAGAGTCTATTTAATCCTCCTTAAACTAAACACATTTTCATGTACAATGTGCTAAAACTCATCCACACCTTAGGTCTTAAGTACTTCTTTGATTCCTGGTTTCTATTCACAGCACCAGAATAGTTCCCAGGCTTCTACTTACATACGTATCTAGACCTATCTCCTGCTGGGCCAAATCCATAAAACATTTGTTTCCCCTTTACTCCCACTCACATCCCCACCCAAACAAAACCAAACCGTAAGCCCATCATCCTCCTCCCTTCCAGTTTCCCACTCCCGTTTCTGGGATTCCCAGTTACAACACCCATACACCCCTGTAACGAAGGAGACACATTACCATGTACTAACCCGAACCCGCACGGAACGAGACTGATGCAGAGTTCCAAATGCACCTGTTCTCACCTCCCAGTCCAGGTAGTCATTGGCATCCTCAAAGTTAGTGAGGAGGGAGACAGAGCAGAAGAGTTTGGGCAGCTCCTCGCGGGTCAGGGGGGGGAATCGGCTGTCCTTAAGTGCACTAAAGGGAACAGAAGATATATCGCCTAACAGCAAACACCACATCAAAACGTCAGACGCTCAGTTATGCCCTACATTTGGGCCTTTCAGAGATTACGGTGGTTAATTCAGTTTTGATTATGCCTCTGTGAAACATTTTTATCTCTGTTACTGCAGAGAAAGTGGTTTGCATCTATTCACAATCTAATGAACTGTAATATGCAAACACTAGAGCAAACTTCCTTACGCTGTCCTCCACTAAATGCAGTGGGAGAGAGATTATGTGCTATGCGAGATATCAAAACTATTAGTATGCAAGACAGATTTGACATTAGCTTTAAAAGTCAATCAAAATTCACCTGCTGCAAAGCTGTTCCACTAAATCCTGATATATTACTTCACCCTAACTACCACATGATTCTCAGGTTTATTTTATTGTGAACCACATTAAATTGAATCTACGTCAATCCAATAACATCTCCCAAACTTGAATCCTTATACATCTTCAGCAAATTCAACTGATTTCGGATTTATTTCCTTTTCAACATAGTTACCTGGTTAATGTGTATTCCCTGAGTCCTGAGTGAAGATTCATGGCTGAAAAGGTCCCGATGCAGCCACGAAGCCGCTTGTCTCGCCCCGTCTTCCACGTCACAAAGAGCGGACTGGAAAGGCAAAAAGAGAGAAATACTCTAGCCTCTAGAAGAACGTCCTGGCTAAGGGGAGCAAGCGTGCAGGCACTTGCTTTCTCTATTCCTCTCTAATAAACCCTAGGATGAATTTTTCTCACCTGCAATCTAACAATAATATCCCCCCCTCCCCCCCCAATGCAAAAAAACAACCTCCCCCAACCTTTTCATCATATTCCTTTCTCTCCAAAACCTTCCTGGACAGAGTCTGAGCTGTTTTCTGATGAGTAATACAGTTATCTAACCCCCATAGATTACCTTTGAGTAATGGTCTCACTTAGTAGCATCCACTACTTTACATGACAACCCATACTGAAATTAATATAGGTGAAGCAAATAAGTTTAGTTATTTATAGTAGTGCCTTTGAACCTAAGATCCCCAAGCATTCTACAAAGCAACCATAATTCAGGTTTGTGATAAAAGATTTTTTTTTCTAACAGATAACAAGCAAACCTATTTTTTTTCCCCCGAGTTATTTCCATGAGGATCCGACTTTCAGGTCCACCCCTTCAGCTGACACAGTCTGTGTTCATGTCTCCTTTTGCTTACCTTTGATTTGATTTATATTTGCACAAATTCTCTCCTGTTGAACAGACATCCAAATCACTATGCTGTTCCCACTAAAACAT